CGGTATCGTGTGATATATGATTGCTTATAGTGTGTGGGCAGAACGTGCGGCAAAATTACATTCGTGATATCGCAGTGCCATGCGGATTTGCGCGGCCTTCGTGGAGACTGCGTTTGCGTTGGGCCGTGCCACTGGGGAGCGAGAAACATGATGGTGTAAACGCGGCGTGTCGCTGGTGAGCGGAATGATTGGCGGCGGTATCGTGTGGCAGGATTGCTTCTAGTAAGTGGGCAGACCGTGTGGCGAAATTACGTCCGTGATGTCGCAGTGCCGTGCGGATTTGCGCGGCCTTGGTGGGAAGTGCGTTTGCGTGGCGCCGTGCCACTGGTGAGCGCGAAACATGCTGGTGTAAACGCGGCGTGTCGCTGGTGTTGTAGAATTTCACAGGTCAGGGCAAGTTTTGTTTGAAAAAGATTTTTAAGTTTTTTGAAAAGACACCAAAAAACAAAACCTACAATCCCGCAGAAAGATACCAGCAAGGTGAACCCAGAAGTTTGGACTCAGGAAACATTGTACAAATACTAGGAAAATGCAGTTAAATGCAAACATACATACCAATCAAGCAAACCCTGGGCTCAACAAACTGCGCATGGCGCATGTCCATCTGTGAGTCTGTGTGAGCCAGCTTGTCTCTTTTTTTCTCCTGTGACTAGCGACTTCTGCCTTCAGTCTATCATCAGCTCCGTGGCTTTGTTGGGTGACAAACGCTTCGCTCAAGCATCTTGCCCTACACCACGCAAACAACAAAGGTTTGAAAGGCAAGGCCTTTCACTTGGAGGCTGAAGTATTTTGCTTCTTGCCATTGCAAAACATCGGCTATCATTCCAAAAAAAAAGCTATAGTTAAAAACAAGGAGCCATAACTGGCAGCGCTGGCCACAAACAAGATTGTAATTCCAAAGCAACAGCTAGCATATATTCCGATTCTATAAAAATTTTTCAAAAAAGAACCATGCCTGGCAGAGCTGGCTACCAATAAGTTATGATTCCAAAAAAAGTTATAGTTCCAAAAAAAAGAACCATAACTCGCTGCACTGGCTACCAAAAAGTTATGATTCCAAAAAAAAGTTATAGTTCCAAAAAAGGAACCATAACTCGCTGCACTGGCTACCAAAAAGTTATGATTCCCAAAAAAAGTTATAGTTCCAAAAAAAGGAACCATAACTTATGATTCTTTTTTCAGAAAAATCATAGCCAAAAACTATCAAAAACCTTTCAAAATCAAAGGTGTTTGCTAGTTTGGGGCTCTGTAAATCTAGGTTTTTCACTAAAACACATAGCTCAAAACTAGCAAACACAATTGATTTTGAAGGCTTTTTGTTAGATTTAGGCTATGCATCTGTTTGGAGAAAAAGAATCATAAGTTATGGTTCTTTTTTTTGGAACGATAACTTTTTTTGGAATCATAACTTTTTTGCTTGGAATATTTTGGAATCATAACTTTTTGGTAGCCAGTGCAGCCAGTTATGATTCTTTTCTTTTGGAACTATAACCTTTTTGGGAATCATAACTTTTTGGTAGCCAGTGCTGCCAGTTATGGTTCTTTTTTTGAACTATAACACTGTTTTGGAATCAAAACTTTTAGGTGGGCTGTGTCACCAGTTATGATTCTTTTTTGGGGAAACTATAGCATGTTTAAGAATCATAACTTTTGGGTGGGCACTGTCCGCAGTTATGATTCCTTTGTGTGGAAAGCAAGGGCGATTGACAGAATCTTGACTAGACATAAATCTGTGGATGTTCGTCAGATTCACACACTTGATGTTTGGATAGTGGTTGGCTCGGCGCGGTTGGCATCCCTTTTTATATTGAACCTGGTGGCAGCATGACATGTGCGTTCACACACATAATGTGTGTGTGTGTGTTTGTTTGTGTGTCTTTGTGGTTATCTTAAAACTTAAACCTGTCGCATACATTCTTAATTTTGGCCTACTTGTCAAACTGAGATTGGTGGCCTTTAATAAAGTGGAGCCATATGGAAGCCCTGGAAGCACCATGCACCCTGCGACATAAAACCAAGACACGAGGATTGCACTGAAGCAGGAATTGGGATTGATTATGGTTTTTGTTTTAAGTTCAACCATGTTAAAAGTTATGATTCTTTTTTGAACTGAACCGCCTTGACTTGCGAAATTTGCTAGCTGGTGTGCTATAATTCCATCATTTTGATTTGAATCTCTTCAGCGTTGTGCTTGCACAGCGAGGAGTTTGCACCAAGGTTAGCGCTCCTGACCCACGACGTTGCGCTGCCGTTGCATCTGCGCATCTACGTCTACACACCCTCACCTCTGTACATTTACACCTTCACACGCTCACATCCGCAGATCTACCTCTCTACCTCCACAGGCCCACACATCTGCACATCTATATCACACCTGCACATCCACACTGTCACTCCTTAACATCCGCCCTCTCTTTCTCTCTTTCTACATATCTTTTCTCTTAATACTTTAATCTAATTTCTTCGCAACTTCTTACTCAACAGATTGTATAAAGAAGTCATGGCTCGTGGACAACTCGATTTTAACTATTTCCTTACTCGGAATTGCTTGACAATCGCCTTTCTCGCTCTCGGGCCAACCGTCGTCTAGTTATCGCTTTTGTTATCGTTATATTATCGTTTTGGAACCCCCAATGCTTCACCCATTTTGGTGGCCTAACGGAAACGAGTGCCACCGTGCCTCAAAAATGCAACTTACATTTTTGAGGTCATTCCTCGGGAAATCATCCACGAGGCCTCAAAAATGTAAGTTACCTTTTTTGAGGCCACCTCAAAGTTAATGTAATTACATTTTTTGAGGCCCTCCGCATAGGAAAATGTAACTTACAGTTTTCGACGTCCCCCCTCAGGAAAGGGTAGTGATGCCAGAAGATATGCGGGAAAGGATGTCAGAAGGTGCTAGAAAGGATGTCAGAATATGTCAGAATATACGCCAGTTGGTTTGCCAGAGGTTTGCTAGATAGAATGCCAGAAGACATTCCCAACATCAATAGAATCCCGGAAAGGATGCCAGACAGAATGCCGGTATATGTAGGATGCAAATTCGCTGAACAAATGCCGGAACACATGTTAGGACATATTTGAATGCCAGCTTGGTGCGAGAGCACATATCGGAAGCACATGTCAGAAAATATGCCAGAAGCATGCCAGGCTTCACAGCGGGACAGATGCCGGAACCCATGCCAACAAGGACACCAGTGCACATTCCAGAGCAATCCCCAGCCCCAGTTTGTTTGAAAGACGACGTGCCAGAACAAATGACAGAACATTGAACCACACGCATGTCAGGCAGCGTTTGTCAAGATTGTTTGTCAAATACGTCTTGTTTGCTTCCAAATCGTTTCTCAGGGTCGGATAACTTGAACTAAAGTTATTTCAGGCCGCTGGGGTATGATTCTTGGTAAGGTCCCTGGTCAGGAGCGGCCTGGCGCTGCCAGGTGCACTCGCGAAACCCAATGAACACGTCTAGTTTTGGTAACATTTTCATGTTGCAATGATTGTCAGTGATAATATGACAGAATGACCGTCCAAAACTTAAGCCCTAGCGGCACTTGGATCTTAACCTCTCATCAGGTCCAATGGAAACATGCAGTGTCAAATTGCACATAGCCTAGCTCAGGAAATCACTCCCAGCGAGCCAGCAACCCTCTGTGGGTCCCGATGGTGTCTTGACTTCAGGATTTTCGAAGGTGTTTGGCTGTTGGCTTATAAAACCGAGCATTTGCCCACTGCGTGTCGATGTTTGCTCATGACTGAAGGACAACTGCAGGATTTCTGGAGCTCCCTACATGTGGATCAAGAAGGCGATCAAGGAGGCCTTGAGGATGAAGAGCATGAAGAACGCAGCGAAGGCGAAGGCATGGGCATGTGTTCCAAGCGTTTGAACACATACAGCAAGGCGATCTTAATATGTTGATTCAACATGTTTCAACAAAAGTGTCAAGATCGGCTTTGTGCATGGTGCAAGAAATGTTTCAAATTGCGCAAGGTGAAGCGTGGGAGATTCCTGCAGCCACTTAATCAATTTGGCCATGGTAGAAAAACACTGTGTCGGTCGTGATTTGTTTTGTGGTGTTCGCCCCAAAACGTGTGGCTTTGTCGCGAGACTCATTGTTTGTGTCCGCCGATCAAGTACAGAATGTGTGTTCATTGTTTTTTAGGGCGATGTTGCCAGATTACTGAATGTTTGCGGGAAAGGGTGGTTCTGTTAGGCGTTTGCCCTTCTTTGCTCAATCGGCTTGTGTTTCCGAGGAATCATCGTTCGAGGGGCCAGACGAAGGATCACCTGAAGGTGATGAAGCTATGCAGACAGTGCGAGCGCTTTCTGATGCTCCCAGAGGCGTATCCGTGGCCAACAGCTCCTTTAGCAGCTTGGTTGAAGCTTCAAACCTTGCGGTGTGTGTTCCAACATGGCATCACGGCCGCGACTGTATTTTTGCTGAGGCGAAGACACATTAAGATCGACCTTTTCGAAGAGCAAGTCCCTTTCCTTATTATTCATGTTTGTGGGGGTTGGAGACAACTACCGCACTCAGCAGAATATGACACATGACTTGGCAACAGCACCTTCTTTGCGGATTGTTTGATTTCTGAACTAGCCCGGGGTTAAGTTTGAAGTAGAAACAGTAAGCGCGCGTCAAGATTCAGCAGTTTTGAGGTAGCAGCAGTAAGAGCAGCATTCCGCAAAGACTGTCAAATACAAGAAACATAAGCAAGAACATGCACAATGTCCGATCAATTCCAATTTTAAATCACCTGAAGGCCAATCCCCTTAGAGAAAGCGATGGGGAAGAAGAGAGACAGAGACAGAACGTCAGATCGTCATCCACAATGATTGCAGTAGGACAGCTGGTCTTGTTTAGAGGCAGCGGAGTAGGCAGCGCCAACTCAGCACCAGCAGGTATTGTGTAATGTTTGGTCAGGTTGGATTGCTTCTGAGAAAGACAGTGCGGGAGCCAGAATGAACACTGCCGTTGATAGCACACGACTCTTCAAATATGATCGCGCGATGAAAACGCCTGTTTTCCTTTTGAGGAAAGTAAGGGGGTTCAGTATGTGAAAAGGTTGATCCTACCCGCACACGCTCCCGTGGCATTGGATCCTTTTTGGAGCCCAATGTGATCCGTGCGGGATCTGCAGAAAACTACAGCCATCAGGCTCAAACCCCTCTCACCATCACCATGTTCTCCTTTTCGGTCTTTCATCCTTGCATTGACTGTTTGAACCCGCCTTCATCAAGAAAGCCGACTGTGAAAATGTTCCTCTCATGGTCCACAGCCACTTCCACATAGTCTCAAGCGGGTGCAAAGAAACGATGTCAAAAACGACTGTGGAGAATAGAAGCTCGGAGCGATGTCACCCATGTTGAACCTAGTTCAACTTCCTGAAACAACCTGTGCCAGAGCGAAGATTTTTTTGGTGGCCGAGGCAGTCAAGGCAATCAACTGCCGAGGCACGCCATGAAAGGTTGATGATGGGATGTTCAATGCATGTTGAGGTGTTCAAAGGCTTTAAAGGAAGGTGATGAACAAAATTTCTTTGCATTCTGTGTCAGGTCGTGCCTGGCTTTGGGCGAGCTGGTGACTGGGAATTAAGAGCAAGGATTGCTCGGCCGATGTTGATGTTTGAGTATTTTGGAGGTTGCAATTTTCAATACAATGCACGAATGCGTTTGAGGGAATAGTTTTCCTGGCTGGCATACAGTATTTCCGTTGCACCTAAGGAAGGAAGGCCACTTTGAGATCATCCCATACTGGTGACTTGCAAAACAACTTGATCGGGACGAGGTTCAATTGTACTTTCGTATCAATTGTCCAGGGTCTCCTGGCATCGCTACTAGGAGCAAGGAAGCTACTAGGGGCTCCTGGCCTTACTATTAGGAGCAAGGACGCTACTAGGAATCAATTTGTCCTAGTAGCTTCTTGTTCCTAGTAGTACGGCCAGGAGCTCTTAGCGATGCGAGGAGCCCCTAGTAGCGAACATTGCTCCTATGTGGTTGACTTTTGGGAGTTTCAAGATGTGGATAGGCGCAACGCGGCGCAAGTTCCAGTTGCGCACCGCAGTGGCAATACGTTTCATAATTGCTGCAATCACATGGCCTTGCGCCAAGTCCGGCTCATGTTGCGGACGTTAGGCTGGCCTAACAGTATTTGTTGCCAATCATCAGGCTGGAGGGTCGAACTACTCGTATCGATCAACATCAGTGAAAGTTGTTGATCCCGACTGTGCCCAACCTTGCCCAGGTTTGAAGAGAGGTTGATCTTTCGGTTTCAATTCCCGTGTGATCCGGAGGAGCGTTGCACATCCTTGCCCTTTCACCAGTCAAAATCCACCACTTAAATGTAAGCAGGTGGTTCGGTGCAAGTTGTGGACCTACCCTCAGCTTGATCATACAGTATGCTTATCATCCAAGCTAGCTGCGTGCCCTTAGTCAACTGAGCGTGACTGAGTTTGACAGATTGGACGGGCGTGCTCCAAGCGTGCTCGTCGTCATTGTGAGCCGTTTGCAGCAGACGCCTTGCATTGCAGCTTTTCTCGCTTTGCTCGCACGGGGCTTCTGGGCTGCGAAGTGCCTTTGCAGCGCCGGTGCTTACATTCTGAGGACATTGCAGGCCATTCCAGTCCATGTCCGCCTCCCTTGCAGCTTCGTCGCCACTGGCGACAGTGGTTTGCGATCTGACTTCTTACGACTTGTGGCAAGTCACTGTATTCACTGGTGCCCATAGCCACTGCTCTCAACAAGACCACCGCGGCCAACTGCATCTTAGGATCACTGACTTTGATCGCCGTGGAGTTCAACAAGTTTCTGTCAGCAAAGCCAATCAATCACAGCTAAAGGCCTTGATCCAAAGCCTGATTTAAACCAGCAGGCCCTTCCGTGGCTTAGCTTGAGGGAAAGACTGGCCAGCGGCCAAAGGTAGCTTGACGATAACATTGCGCACGGCAAGGCAAGGACCATGATTCTCAGGCTGCCTGCCAAACTGAATGAGTTAGATCAGATCTGTTGTTTTCTTGCGATTGCCGAAGGCGGTTGTGGCCGCACATGCATCGAATTAGTCGCTGCCACCTGACTCGGGCGGTGGCCCCCCCGACAGCAAAAGTACAGCTGTACTGATACTGTCCACTGTCCCAACGGTAACTTCACGGAAAAAAGCGCGCTGCGATCACGCAAGGGTCCTGGCCATTCTTCCCCTTGCCATGCATGCACCCAAGTATTCCTCCAGGGCTTAGCTGGACGCCATCCGTAGGTGCAAAAAGGCCCAAGCCGGCCACACGTGCGTCATTAGCGGACTCATGTCGCCGCCAGAGCGGAGAAAAACATGTTGACTCGTCACACTTAAGAACTACATTGCCCTTCTTGCCGCTATATAGCCGCTGTGAAGTGCTTCCAACACTTGAGACACTTGAGATTTGGTTCATGAATTTACCAAATCCCTCAGCGGCGGGTGCTGGAGCCTCAGAAGCCAAAAGGCACCCTCACCCCAACCCCGGGCGACACCCGGGTCCGATCGCACTCGATCGCTGTTTTGCAATAATAGCGGTGTTGGTAGCGGAGCGCTACACGACGATTCGGGAGATTGTCATCAAGCCCTGTCCGAGCGCACCTACCTCGTCACACTACATCCTCGCCTACCTCAATGGCTACTGCCACATCATCGGCATCGGCAACAGCCAAAGGAGCAGGCGGTGGAGCATATACCGAAAAGAAATGCCCATGAGCTGATCCCGCTGAGTTCAGCGGCAAGTCCAACGACTACAAGGAATACCGCAAGCTTGTGCTCTTGTATGAGCGCAAGATGGATCTTGCTGGTAGCAAGACCGAGACGGCCTTCAACATCATGTCCTCGCTGAAGAACAAGGCATGGGATGCCTGTGGGGATCTGTCGGTAGAGATCCTGGAGAGCGACAGGGGCATGAAGGAGATCCTTGCGCGGCTTTACGCCGTGTTCAAGTATGACGCCATGTCCGAGCTGCTGCAGGACTTTGAGAACTTCTTCATCCAGATGCAGCGGAAGCGCAATGAGACCATGCAGGAGTATACACAGCCAACGTCGGGAGGCAGCTTCGTAAATTGGCTGCCCATGAGGTCCAGCTTCCTGAGAAGGTGATCGGCTGGTACTATCTACGTCGAGCCCGGACCTGGGCTCTGTCAGGAAGGCAGTCAACTTCGTGATTGGCCAGGACCAGACCCCAGAGGGCGCGACTCAGTGGTGAAGGTTGCGCATCCTGCACCGGGGACACCCGCGGCAAAGAAGAAGAAGAAAGAGAAAGCGGAGAACATTCCATAAGGCCGACGTTGTGTCCTGACGGTCATGCCACCCGATACTGTGCAATCAGGATTCTGAGCAGCAAGAAGGTGGAGGAGTTCACCAAGGGCTTGGAACGTTGCTGGCTGAAGCACTTTGGAATTCCCAGGATCTTGAGGATCGATGAGGCCAAAGGTTGGGCATCCAAACATGTGGGCATCCTCTTGAGGCACTACCTTGGAACTTCAACCTGCAGAACAACATTCATGGCTGGCTTGGTGTGGTGGGAAGAGAGCGTCAGGTTGTTCGGAGATGTCTGGAGCTCTATCAAGATGAGGTTGGCCGACGTGACAAGGCTTTCGTTGAAGGAGGCAGCCGTCTATGTGCCACATGCCATCAACCAGCTCAGCTTCCACAAAGGATTCAGCTCACAGGGTGTTCAGAAAGACCATGACTCATGTGCATGGCTTGTCCGGTGAGCTCTTCAACCCTGGACAAGATGCTCTGGATGAACAAGGACTCTTTGCAGAAGTTCAACAGCGACGTGCAGCAGCTGCTAAGGCGTTCATCGCTGCTGACTCTGACGCCAAGTTGCGTCGTGCCTTCACCCAGAAGTTCCAGGAGCAGAAGGAGAACCTGGGTGGTGGGGCAGCAATGTTGGTACTTGGTACTGGCGCAACGCTGGTGCTGGCATCTTGAGGAAAGCAAGGTGGAGAGGCCCTGCCCGTGTGGTGGCTATTGAGGTTAATGGAGATGCTCGTGTTCTTTTGGCTTTGTCATGGAACATCCCTGGCGCGATGTGCTCCTCAGCAGGTACGCCCAAAATATGGTTGAAGACAGTGGAGTTTTTGTTCCCATTGACCGACAGGCGGCGGACCTGGAGCCGAGTTCCGACGAGATGAAACGTGCCGGCGTCGAACCCAAGGAGATGGATTACAATGACTGGGATGGTAATCTAGAAGCCGACTACCAGCCAGAGGAGATGGATCCCGAGGATGACAGGAGCCAAGAAGAAGAAGAAGCTCAACCGAGCATTCTCCCTAGCATCGCGCAGGCAATTCTGCCGAGACCACGTCATGAAGAACGAGAACGAACTCCTCGACGTGAGCTACAGCGTGCTACAGCTACCTCGCGGACCGCCGTCAGATGCACCAACGGCAGTACCTGCAGAGACAAATCAAGAGACGCGCGCAGAAGAAGGACCACCAAAAAGAAAGAATCATGATCCTGGAGAAGAACGTCCGGCAAAGAATCCAGGGAGTGCACCGCCCCCAGACTTTGCGCCGCCTGAAGCAGAACCTGTCCCCTCAGACGACGAGCTGATCATCGATGAGGTCTTTTTTAGGCACTACCAGTGGGATGGAAGCTGGTGGACGGATCCTTTCGGCTGGACAAGGTCTATGTGCAGCAGAACCTCTGGAAGGGCGAGGTTAGCCTGAAGCATCTCACACCTGACCAACAAGCAGAACTCATTGCAGGCAAGCGCAATGAGCTTGAGCAGTACTTTCAGAACCCGGTGTGGGAGCTCGCAACCTCAGAGGAGGGCAACCAAGCTGTGCAGACCAATCGGGTGATCACTGCACGATGGGCGCTGACCTGGAAGCGCATCAATGAGGACAACCCTCTACAAGGCGAAGGCCAGATTGGTCCTACGAGGATTTGAGGATCCTGATCTCCTGAGCATCGAGACTGCAGCCCCGACAACCAGCCAACTTGCATGCTTGCCTCTTCCTGCTGGCCATCACCAACTGGAACCAGTGGGAACTTCTTTGTGGTGATGTCAAGGCAGCATTTCTATCTGGAAGTGGCTTCGACAGGGTGATCATAGTGAAGTTGCCCAAGGACTGCAATCCATTGATTGGAGGAGATCAACTCGGACCACAAGGACAGCTGATGCCCCACTGATGTGGTATCGGCCTCCAGCAGACTTGCAGCTCGTGGCTGGAAAAGCTAAAAGCCACGCCGTGGATCAGTGCTGTTCTTTACTGTCTGAAGAAAAGTCCACGGGGAAGACCTTGTTGGTCGGTATGCTGGTGATCCATGTCGACGACATTTTGATCCCTGGTGATTCCAACAGCACGTGCTGCGTGGAGGCCATCAAGAACCTCAAGAAGCACTTTAAGTATGGCAAGTGGGATTGCGGGCACTTTGCTGCCACCATGGACCGAACGGTCACACACCATGACGATGAAGCCGCCATGGGATGAGCCGTCTCGCGGGGTTCCAAAGCCGGCGTCAGCATAGCAGACCAGGGCCAGGGTGACGTTGTCCAGGCTGTTGAGGGTGCCCTTGTTGACCTCCGCGGGCTTCGCCAGGAACTTGGCGGTCACATCGCTCTGGCTCTTGCCAAAGCGCAAGGTCTTGTTCTTTCGGCGCTGCACCTGCTTGCAGTGACACGGATGCTGCCAGCATAAGCCCAGAACTGCGCCACTGCAAAGCGCCGATGAGTGCTCGGTACTTCCCTGTCTCGCTGGGGCTCATCTCATCTGTTGGCTTCCGTCCCTTGTTG